GGTTATATTTTTTTATATCTTTGCTGCTAATGTTTAATTTTATTAGATTGTGTCCAGAGAATGCAGTCCATGTAATCTCTTCTATTTGGAGTATTTGGAAGATTCAAAAAATATTTTCACACTCTTTTTTTTTTTACTACAATTCAATGATTTTTAGTGTATTCACAAGGTTGTGCAGCTACCACCACAATCGACTTCATAACATTTTCATCACTTCGGAAAGAAACCCATCCTTTTGGCAGTCATTTCCCCACCTCTTCAACCCCCCAGATCCTGAGCAGTCACTGATCTACTGTCTGTCTCTGTGAACCTGCCTGTTCTGGACATTTCATATCAATGCGATCATACAATGTGCGGTCTTTCGTGTGGCTCCTTTCACCCAACATAACGTTTTTAGGATTCATGCGTACTGCAGCATGTGTCAGTACATTCCTTTTTATTGCTCAGTAATACTCCATTTTGCAGGTATCGCACATTTTATTTACCCATTCTTAGTTGGTGGGCACTTGGGTTATTTCTACTTTTTACCTATTACGAATGATGCTACTTTCTGTTTGGTTTTTCATTTATCCGGCATGTTTTTCACCATTTATTAATCTATTTTCATTCTTTTATTTTTAACCTTTCTTTTACACATAATTTAGGGTTTTTTTTTCATATTTAAGACCCAGCTAGATTTTTTTTTAAAATCCTATTTGACAATTTCTGTTTTTGAGAGCGGAGCTTAGCCTGTTTATTGTATAACAGGTACATTGGATGTTGTTCCTTTTATCCTATTTTATGCTTATTGTTTATTTTACTTCATTATTTCCTCTTTCTTCTTTTTTCTCCTTTTGCTGCCTTAATCACATTTTCTTAACCTGTTATTTTATAAGCTTACTGTGCTTTTTAATTCTACCATAGTTATCTTTCCATTGCTATCATCATAATCAAATGTATTCCTTTATTAACACACCACAGTTAGATAGTGCCTAACCCTTTAGAGCACATTTATTTTTCTGTTCTCCCCAAGACTCAATGCCTCCATTTTGTTAAAATATATAGCCATTCCTAGTCCAGGGTTTTAATTAGAATTCTTTTTGGTTCATTTCTTCTGTTTTGAGCATACTTGGAACAAACAATACGAGTTTTTTGGACATTTTTTACATCCTAGAAGGCTGCTAAGGACAGAAAGTGAATTCTCTTTTAGCAAAGTACTAGTTTGCATTTTAACCAAAAAATGACATGACTGGCCAAGCTGATCATATTCACAATTTCAGGTGAGCAGGCCATGTGTCGATAATCAAGAATAGTTTTCTGTTTTGGGACGTCCTTAACATAGACATTCACTCCATCCGGCTGCCACTCGCGGGGACTACAGGTGTGTGCGGTGCTCCCCTCTACTCTGCTTTTGCTCATGTGCCTGACCTGGTTTCTCTCTTCAGGCTCCATCTTCCCAGGCCCATCTCTTCCAGAGGCCTCTTCTGACCCGCACCAGATGTGAGAGCTTCTTCCTTTGAATCCCACAAGCTACCTTGTTTTTATCTCTTCTGACATGGCATTAGGCTTTGTATCACTGAGGTTTGGTATTTATGTATTTTCACCCCTCTTCTCTTTTCTTGTGGTGGGGCAAGGTATCTTGTCTTTGTAATCCCAATGCCTAGCACGGTCCCTGCTGCTAATACATACTGAGATGAAAGGACTGGGAGTAATAAATTGGTCAAGGAACTGTACACTTGAATGAAAAAAGCAGCAGACTTTGATTTAATGATTTGTACACTTATTTTTTGCGTCTATGAGACAAAGTATTTATAGAGAACTGTCTTCATCATACCCTAGATATGCATTCTTGAGAATTTCCTTTTTAAAAGCATTACACTAAAAAAAAAAAGAACATTTATCATTCACTAATGGTATTAACTATCCTTCATCTTATGGCTTCCGACTGTCTAATGCTACAGTATCCTGGGAGTTTTGACCTGTTTAGAAGCTAAACTTAGCCCTGGCTGGTGTGGCTCAGTGGACTGAGTACTGGCCATGAACCAAAGGTTTGGCGGTTTGGTTCCCAGTCAGGGCACATGCCTGGGTTGCGGGCCAGGTCCCTTGTGTGGGGCATGCAAGAAGCAACCACACATTGATGTTTCTCTTGCTCTCAAAAAAAAAAAAATATATATATATATATATAAATATGTTTCAAGAACTTGATGTAGCTGCCCTTATACTGGTGCTAGAAATCTATTCTGCTCTTCCCTCATGGCCTCAGGGGTTAGTGGTGAGACACACAAATCAACTAACAGAGTGGCTGCACTCTGGTGAGGCCAGAACCTGTGAGTGGGGAGGGAAGCCACAGGTGGGCCCCTACCCAGCCAAGGAATGCTTCTCAGAGATTATCCAGATCAGAAAACTATGAAGGTGAGGCAGGCAGCCAGATATGGGTGGTGGAGGGGACGGGTGGGAGAAGTATACTTACTGAGCAGAGAAAACAAGTGCCAGAGAATATGCGCATTTGGAAAAGTATAATTACTTCAGAGGGGTTGGAGTGTCCCGACAGGAGATGGAATTTTTCTGTTTCTCTTACATTTTGTTTTCATTTTTAAAAAAGATTTTCTTTGTTTATTTTTAGACAGAGGGGGCGGGAGAAAGGGAGAAATATCAATGTTTGATTGCCTCTCGAGTGTCTCCTATTGGGGACCTGGCCCACAACCCAGGCATGTGCCCTGACTGGGAATCAAACTGGTGACCCTTTGGTTCACAGCCTGGGGCTCAATCCATTGAGCCACAGCAGCCAGGGCTCATTTTTAATTTAATTATTTTAAAAATAAAAAAGATTTTATTTATTTTAAAGGGAGGGGAAGATAGGGATAAATCATTGATATGTGAGAGAAACATTGATCTGTTGCTTCTCACACATGCCCCAATTGGGGACCAGGCCTAACCTGGAATCAAACTGGTGACCTTTTGCTTTGCAGGACAATGCCCAACCAACTGAGCCACACTGGCCAGGGCTATTTTTTTTTTTTTGTTTTACTTTTAGAAACACAGTGCCAAGGCACTAGTGGTTTAGTCATAAAGGAAAAGGGGCCCTCTCTTACCAAGCAGACGTGGGCTAGCTATGGCTCTTAGAAGCTTGAAGCTTGAAGACCTACTCTTGTCCTCCTAACCTAGATACCTCTTAAGTTCAAGGACAGTGTTTGATTCACTCTCAGCTCTGTCCCCAGCCCTGGTACAGTGCCAGGCAGCAGCTGGAGTTCAGACAATATTCATTGGATGAATAAGATGGCCACCCAGGACCCCAGGGGGTGGGGAGATGAATATTACCCTTTGGCACACCCTTGACAGCTTGGGGCTCTCAAGGTGGGTCCTGGGATGTCTTCGAGTAAAAAAGTAGTTAACTTAGCTGCAGGTCTCCTATGACAGACTTGCTAAGGAGAATCTACTCACAGAGCAGTGATGCCCTTTATCTTGTCAGCCAATTAATTCCTTAAGTACTCCAAGTTAGGGAAGGCCTGCTGATTTGATTTTATCTGTCTTTTAAGACTGATCTTTGATCATATCCCATTCCAGCTGGACTTCCTCTCCTCTTCTTCCCTCCTCCATCACTGATGGTGCAGGATCTAATTACCTCATCACCCCTTAATTTATTTATGAAAGGCCTGAGGTTAAAGAAAAGAACAAAACCCTTGGACCCTTGCATAAAAGCTTTCCTTTCTCCATTCCCTCCTTTATGCCCAATAAAACTTCCTTTTCTGTCTCTGGTAAGCTGGAATTGTTCTTACTTACAAATTTAAATAAATAAACTTTTCTCCCAGGGCTGAGTGGCAGCCAGCCATGTGGGTTAAGCCTGGCCTGCCACTCCCAATGGATCAATCAATCTTTCAGCAAGAATTCATTGATCCTACAGGAAGCAGATTTCAAAACCAGCACAGAGCTCTTGGATGTCCTGGCTTCCTCTTCACAAGACACTTGGGGAAGAGGAGTGTTTTGAAAATTTTAATTTTATTATCACACAAATACAACATGGATACATTCAGCGTTTTAAAAATTCTGACACAAATACGTGGAATAACAAGTGAAAGCCTTTTTCCCTTTCCTTGCATCCCATCCCACTGTAAGAGGTTGAGTGAATCCTTTTATTCAGACCTTTAAAAATGCACATTCATACATGTACCCCTATATAAATGTCTAACTTAAAAAATAATATAAATGGGATCACAACATAGGTGCGACTACCCTCCACCGCCCCCTTTTTCAAAACATGTCCTGGACATCCATCTGTCCAGTCAGACCACACAAAATTTAATGATTTTAATGATTGAAATAGAATTTGACAACATAGAGGGCCCATTATTTATTTGTTTCCCTACTGATGGGCGTTAACAAAATTTCACATTTTTCAGTATTACAAGATATGTTTCAAATACCAGTTCTCTGGGAATTATCCATTTAATCATGAACTTGTGGGTTCATTGTGTGCCATGCACTCTATTCGGGGTTGCGAGTAAACAAAACAGATACCTAAATATAGTTCTGAAAGATGGAAAAGGAGAACTTTCTTTTTTCCAAGATGGCAAGACAGGTTGAAGATCGGTCTCTATTTCAACCCAGGAGGCCGTGGAATCCGCCGAGTTGTCTACCCAGCATGGAAAGGGGCTCCAGGACCTGTAAAGGGCTGGCGAGGAAGAGGGTTGGGAAGCTCGAGTGCACTTTTCACAGACGCCCAGGGTCTGAGAGCCGCAGGTCGGGGGGCCTGTAGCAAAAAGCCGCTCACACACCATGCGCGGGACCCTGGGCGCAGGTCTGGCGGGGCGGGGCGGGGCCGAGCAGCGCGCGACCCTCAGCGCGCTCGGGGAGGTAAGCTCTAGGGCGGCCTCTCTGGCCCCAGCTCCCGCGGGCTCTATGACACCGCGCTGGCTCTTGGTACGGGGCGGGGTTGGTTGAGAGGGAGGAGACTACTGAACACCGTAGGTCTCGCGGTGAATCTAGTGGGGAGCTCTCTCGCGAGAACTAGGAAGTACCGCGCTTGCGCACTGAAGTAGTGCCTGGTGGCTGTGGCAGGTCCGCCGGCTAGTGTGGGGAGGGACATTGTAGTGTGGCGCTCATTGCAACCCCTGCGACTCGGCACCATGAGCAGCACCTTAGCCAAGATTGCGGAGATCGAAGCCGAGGTAATGGGCGCATCTGGCGCTTCGCTCTCCGTCCGAGCGTTCTTTTTTCGGCGGTGTCGCTCCTGCTTGAACTCCCTTCAGCCGCGTCAGGACTGGGCCGGCGTTCCCCGACTCCGCTCAGCTCGGACCCTACTTCCCCGACTCCTCTCAGCCTGGACCCGCGTCCCCCGACGCCCCTGTGTCCGGGGTCCGCGTTCTCCGACTCCCCTCAGACCGGGCCCGCGTTCCACAGCCCTGCACCTTGGTCGGTGCCTCCTTCCAGTGTTCAGCTCCTGTCCGAGCATTGTTTCTCTCAGTTTTTTCTCGTTTTTCTTTTTTTTTTTTCTTCTGTGAGCAACACCGAATCCCGTGCCCTTACTCCACCCCTGACTGCTCAAGTACTTCAGTATCTTTCCTTAGCATCCCTGGAAACCCCACCTTCCCCAGTCTCTACTTTGATGACTCCGTTTCCCCGGGAATAGAATCTTGAATTAGATTGACATCTGGGGTAGCTGTCGATTTCACCTGGATTATTGTGTGATTCCATTGCTGAAGTGCTCAGAACTCTTCAAACCTGGGGAAGTGGTAACCTTGTGTCATATGGGGGATGCCAGGAACAAGCTGTAGAAAAGGAATCCGCAGATGAGTTTTAGTCTGATCTGTGGATGCTAGTTGTAATGACCTTCGTCACGTCTCTATGGACCTCAGTGCTTTACTCTGTAATGTGGAGAATGGGCTGGGTGATGGAGAGAATGAGGTGTTAGTTTTAATTTTTTAAAATTGATTTTAGAAAGAGGAAAGGAGGGGAGAGAGAAAGAGAGAGAAACATTGATTTGTTGTTCCATCCATTTATGCATTCACTGGTCGATTCCTGTATGTGCCCTGATTGGGATCCTGTTGCAACCTTGGTGTATCAGGATGATGCTCTAACCAACCTAGCTACCTGGCCAGGGCAGATTTTCACTCTTTTTAAAGTCTGGTTGAAATGGATATGGGTAGGGCCCTGGCTGAGTAGCTGAGTTGGTTAGAGCATCCACCTGACAGGCCAAAGTTGCAGCAGATTCCATCCTGGGTAAGGGTACGTACAAGAAGCAACCAGTGATTGCATAACTAAGTGGAATAACAAATCTCTCCTACTCGTCCTCCCCGGCCCCCCCCATCTCCGTCTCATCAGCTAAAAAAGTAGGTATGGGTATACCGACATTAGGGGACCTAGGAAGAAGCATTCTCAGAGCTGGGGTAGCATTCATTCTGGATATTTTACTCTGTAGGAACTGCTTCTGATTTATGGCTGTGATTCTTCCCTTATAGATGGCTCGGACTCAGAAGAACAAGGCTACGGCACACCACTTAGGGCTGCTTAAGGCCCGCCTTGCTAAGCTTCGCAGAGAACTCATTACTCCAAAAGGTGGTGGTGGTGGTGGGCCAGGAGAAGGTTTGTGTTTTTCTTAAACAGTTTTAAAAAATCCCTCCGGTGTAATTTCTATCAAAATAATACAGGCATGTGGTTTAAAAATAATTTTAAAATTTCTGTCAGAGTACATTTGTATTTCTAAGACTGAATTCTTGAATTGTGTTTATTTTACTGGTTTCAAAAGTAAATGAATATTGTTTAAGTGAACTAGGGTTTTATTGATGTATATATTGTACTGATCCCAGTAGATTTATGGATGTAAATATATACAGTCAGTGTGATAAAAAGTAAGGAAATGGATGCAAAGGGAAATGAAAGTAGGAAGAATAAGCTGAAGCCAAGAGATAAGGTTAGGACCAAAAGTAATGTCAAAGTCTGTACACTTCCTAGAGAAGGGCCACAAATTTGGCTTTGAATGTGTTTGTAGCCATTGTAAAAAAAAAAATCAGTCACATAGTTCCCAGGGTTTGTAAGATAAAAAGGAAACCTGTTTTTTAGATCATTTATTATATAATACTTGAGTCTCAAATACCATGAGTACCAGAAAGTTATATAGTAGGTTAAGTGGTAGTGGGATAAAGTTTTTATATCAAACAGTTCATTAAACATTGTGAATTGCTCTAGGGGGATTTTGTGTGCTTAAGTTCTACTCCAGAGGTAAACTGTAAAAAATTGCAGAAACAGGTCCTAGTGAGATAGGTACCCAGAATGTGAAAGGAACTACATGTGTCTTAATACTCAGAGGTAATTTTCTTCCTCTTTTTTGATATTTATTGATGTTTTAGGTTTTGACGTGGCCAAGACAGGTGATGCTCGAATTGGATTTGTGGGTTTTCCATCTGTGGGGAAGTCAACACTGCTCAGTAACCTGGCAGGGGTATATTCTGAGGTGGCAGCCTATGAGTTCACTACTCTGACCACTGTGCCTGGTGTCATCAGATACAAAGGCGCCAAGATTCAGGTGAGTCAGTCCTGTAGGCCAGGGAAGGGAAGACTTCCATTCTTTTATTCATTTAAAAAGCATTTATTTGGAGCTGTCTGTATGCCAGACCTGATCTTTGATCTACCAGTCCCTCATTGTCTAGCAGGGAAGATAAAGCAGTGAAGACAATGCTATACGCTCTGGCTGGTTTGACTTGATTGGAGTGTCTCCCCATACTCCGAAAGGTTGGGAGTTTGATTCCGAGTCAGGGCGCTTACCCAGGTTGTGGGTTTGATCCCTGCTCTGGGTGTGTGTGGGAGGCAGCCAGTCAGTGTTTCTCTCTCAATGTTTCTTTCACAATGTTGTGTGAAAGAAACATTGATCAGTTGCCTCCTGCATGTGCCCAAACTGGGGACCAAACTCCTAATCCAGGCTTGTGCCCTGACTGGGAATCGAACCAGTGACCTTTTGCTTTGTGGTACAACACCCAACCAACTGACCACACCAGTCAGGGCAGAGGATTCATAGTTAAAGTAATATTCACATACTCATAAAGAAGATTGGATTTGGATCACTTAAATTTTGGATACTTGAGAAATAGATCATTCTGTTTGATCTGCTCAGATTTATAATCAGTTATTCCTTTTTTCCCCCGGTCCTTAATCTTGCAGCTTTTGGATCTCCCAGGTATCATTGAGGGTGCCAAGGATGGGAAGGGTAGAGGCCGTCAAGTTATTGCAGGTGAGTGGTCCAGAGCCACCATTCTGGAATGTCATTGCTTTACCAGGTACTGTTCCTTTAGATGGGGACTGTGGGTTTGGAGAGGATGCCATAGTGTGGGGCATAAACCTGACTTCTTACTGGAATAGAATGTCAGAATTTGTGGGACATCAGATCCCATTTGAGGAGAAACTCTAAAGACAGGAGAAGTAAAGTGCTTTGCCCCAGTATTGCAGTGTTCATGGCAGATTTTGAACTAGAACTCAGGTTTCCTGACTCTCACCCATGCTTTTCCTTCCTTTCATTAAGTAAACTCTTATAAAATGCTAATTACAGATTGCAGCAGTCTGCTATCCTGCCCCTCCTCACCTTCACTGTCACTCCCCATTGGCAACTATACTGTCAACTCTTATTTCCTCTGCTACTTACCTTCACACTTTTAAAAATTGAGCTGTTTTTGCTGTCTCATGGTTAATGAATTTTAGATATCATCTATTTTTTTTTAATTTTCGACAACTTTTTTAAAGATTTTATTTATTTATTTCTAGAGAGGGAAGGGAAGGAGAAAGAGAGAGAGAAACATCAATGTGTGGTTGCTGGGGGCCGTGGCCTGCAACCCAGGCATGTGCCCTGACTGGGAATCGAACCTGCGATGTTTTGGTTCGCAGCCTGAGCTCAATCCACTGAGCTATGCCAGCCAGGCCTGTTTTTTTTTTTGTTTGTTTGTTTGTTTGTTTTTAATGGTGGAGAATGAACTCTCTTTTAGTCCATACCTGTTTTTCCATTTTTTTCAAAGAAGTTATATCACAAGTTTTAGTTAAGTCATCAGTCATGACATGATTATGTAATAACTATGTAACTTTTGTTCAATGCTGAGATAAAGTAGTATGACTTTTTTTTTCCTGTTGAAATGTGTTTTGTTGCCTTAGCTGGTGTGGCTCAGTGGGTTGAGAGCTGGCATATGAAATGAAAGGTCATCGGTTTGATTCCCCATCAGGGTACATGCCTGGGTTGCGGGCCAGGTCCCTGGTTGGGGGTGTGCAAGAGGCAGCCAATCGATATTTCTCTCACACATTGTTGTTTCTCTCCCTCTGTCTCTCCCTTCCCCTCTCTCTAAATAAATAAATAAATAAATACAATCTTAAAAAAAGAAAAGGGAATGTGTTTTTTGAAATTTGTTTTTCATGGAGTAAATAATTGGTTATTATTTGGTTTTGTTTACTTTTTCTGTATTTGCTAATATTTTTCAAATGTTCCAACAGATTAAATGCCTATCAGTCAATATTTTTCTAGCTACTTAAATACAGTTCTAGAAATAATCTTGCTGATTAATTTCTCTTCCCCAAACCGTGACTCTACCGTTCTTTGTCGTCATGGCTCAATATGGGTTGGTTACTTTCTAGACCAGGACTGTCCAGTAAAGGAATGTTCTGCATCTCTGCTGTTCAGTATGGTAGCTGCTAGTCATGTGTGGCTGTTGAACACTTTAAATGTGCCTAATGCAATTGAGGAACTAAATTTTATACTTTTAATTTTAATTAATTTAAATGCAAATAGCCACAGGTGGCTAGCAGAATCTGTATTGGACAGAGCACCCATAGAATTTTTGCATGGCGGTTACCCAGAAATTTTCTTCTGTATTCATGTGTGGGATTTCCCTATTTCCTAGAGTCATTGTTTTACTTTTTTAGGGGTTATTGTTATATTTTGCTGAAGCATGTTCTATAGTAACCTCCCAAGAAAGGGTAAATGGTAGGTAAATATTTCTTTTTTTCCACTTCTACAGTATTTTTATTCTACCCTTACATTGAATTATTAATGTAGCTATTTTATGGAATTGGTGATGGAAATGTTCTTGATTGCTATAGTGGTTAGATAGGTATATATATTTGTCATCAAACTATATGCTTAACTTTGGCACAACTTATTTTTTGTAGATTATGCCTCAATAAAGTTGATTAAAATATGCTAGCCAGATAATCTTATTCTTTTAGAATTCTTACTGTTCTAAATCTTTTAAAACTCTTTCATGGATTTAGGTTAATGCTTGGTTTGTTTCTTCATTCTGACTTGTTTTTGTACTAGTGAATCTAGAAGTTGGTGCATCTTCTAGGTACACTAGTAGAAAACCAGGTACACATCACAAATTGACTTCTAGCATAAATCTTTGTTATCCTTAAGAACTTCACGTGTGTCTTTGTATTTACAAAAACATCCTTTGTCTCTTAAGTGCAGGAATTGCCCCCATGCTCCCAATTTTGAGTATTTGGATTAGATAAATCTTTAATAAATTTTGCTTGGGTATAATTTTCATTTTTCAATTCTTCAGTGGCCCGAACGTGTAACTTGATCCTGATTGTTCTGGATGTCCTGAAACCCTTGGGACATAAGAAGATAATTGAAAACGAATTGGAAGGCTTTGGCATTCGCTTGAACAGCAAACCTCCCAACATTGGCTTTAAGAAGAAGGATAAGGGTGGTATTAACCTCACAGCCACTGTAAGTGGAGAAGGTGATATGAGGCAGGCTGGGGTGGAATGGATTGAGCTACAGGGACAGTGACATTTGGAAATTACCTGACTTCTAGCACTAATTGAAGTAACACATGACCTTGTAATGACTGACAGGAATCAAGAGTAGGATAAGGGTCCATCTCAGACTTACCTTTGTACCTTCATTTAATTCCTCTTCTGGGTTCTCTGTTCGGGATGGTATGGGAGTATAGACCAATCTTATGCTTGTATGAAGCATGTGCCTGCCAACATCATGTTTTTAGTCATTCCACATAGATCAGTAGAGTGTCTGCCAGGGCTAAGCATTGTTTTAGGCTCTGGGGAGTAGATGGAAGAGGGAGAAAAATAGACAAAAATTCTTGCCCTTGTATTCTAATGGGGGAAAATAGCAAACAAAATGGAGTAGATGTAGTCTAATAGATGACATGGAATCTGAGGACAAAAGTAAACTAGGGAAAGGGGATGGAGAATACAGTGGGAGGGTTGCAGTTTTAAGTAGGTTGATCAGAGAAGTCTTTAGTAAAGTGACATGAAGGAGTGAACCAAATGAATTATCTTTGGGGAGAGCATTTCTTTTTTTAAAATTTTATTTATTGTTAGGGGAAGAGAGGGAGAAAGAGAGGGAGAGAAACACCAATGTGTAGTTGCCTCTCACACACCCCCTACAGGGGACCTGGCCTGCAACCCAGGCATGTGCTCTGACTGGGAATCGAACCAGGCCTATGAAACAAAGAATTCTTGTTTCATCCACTAAGCTATACCAGCTAGGGCGGGAAGAACATTTCTTGTACAGGGAGCATTCATGGCTCTGAAGTAGAGCATGCCTTTGCATGTTTGAGGAATAACAGAGTGAGCAAGTAGGAAAGTAAGAGATGAAGTCCTAGAATAGGGCCATACACACTTTATTTTGCAGGAATTGAGTAACTACTGTTTGGGTTCCAATCTGTGGAGAAAATACGGTTCTGATTTAGGTTTTAATGAAATCAGTCTGGCTGTTTGTGGAGAACCAACTGAAATGGATTATGAGCAGAAGCTGAGAAACCATTTAAGAGGTTATTGCAATAAGCCAGTCAAGAAGTAAAAGCTTCTTAGACCAGGGTTGTGATAGTGGAGGAGATGCAAAGTAGTTGATTGTGGAAAGGTTTTGAAAGTAGCTGATAGGAGTTATAGCCTTGGCTGACGTAGCTCAGTTGATTGAGTGTGGACCTGAGAACCAAAGGGTCACCGGTTTGATTCCCAGTCGGCATATGCCTGGGTTGCAGGCCAGGCCCCCAGTAGGAGGCATGCAAGAGGAAACCACACACTGATGTTTCTCTCTCTGTCTTTCTCCTTCCCTTCCCCTCTCTCTAAAACTATATAAATAAAATCTTAAAAATAAAAAAAGAAAGTAGCTGATAGGAATTACCCCTGGATTGGATGTGGTTTATGAAAGAAAGAGATGACTTTTTTGTCTAAGCTAGAAAAATGCAGTCTTACTACTAAAATGGTAGGACTTTGGGTAGAATAGATTTGGAGGGGAGGGGAAAAATCAGGACGTTCAGGTTGAGATGTCAGACACCCAAGTGTTGCTATCAGACAGTCATACGAGGAATGATCTGGGCTGTGGGTGTGCAGTTGGCAGTCATCAACTTCAAAGTTATAAGTTTAGCTGAGATCACTAGGAAGTGAGTGCAAATACAGAGAGGTTTAAGTATTAAGCCTTGTGGCCTCCTCAATGATTAGAGGTTGGTTGATGGGAAGAATCAGCAAATAAGACTTCTCAGACAAAGGAGGAGAAGAAAAACCAGAAGAGTGTGGAATCTTGAAAGCCAAGTAAAATGTTTTAGATTGGAGGAGTGATCAGTGACTGTCAGATGCTGCTTCTAAGTCATATAATTGAGGACTGAGAATTTCCTATAACGTTTAATGTCCTAGAGGTCTAGGCATTTTAACTAGCATAGGTTTAAACTGTCCTGTCTGAAGATCCTTCCCATTATCCTGTCATAATGTTTGAATTTGAGCATTCATTATTCTTTTTGTATTGGTTTGCTAAGGCTGCCATGATAAAGTGCCATGGACTGGGTGGCTTAACCAACAGAAATTAATTTTCTGTTAATTGTGGAGGCTAGATATGTGAGGTCAAGATGAGAGGAGGGTTGGTTTCTTCTGAGGTCTCTCCTTTTTGTAGATGGCCATCTTCTCTCTGTCTTCATGTGATCTTCCCTCTTGTGTGTTTGTGTCCTGTTCTCCTTTTCCTGTAGGGACATCAGTCACATTGGATTAGGACCTACCCATATGACTTCATTTTAACGTAATTATCTCTTTAAGACCCTGTCTCCAAATGGCAATGTTATGAGATACTAGGACTTCAACATGTAAATTTGGGTGGGAGCTGTGGAGACACGGGTCAGCCTGTGACACCTTCCTTAGAGTTTGGAAAGAGTTTTAGTTTTTAAGTATTTTCTACTAAAAGTCAGTTACTCTCAACCAAGAGAGCAATCTTTAGAAATGAATTTGCACTTTAGCTAGGGTTATCCAGATTCATCAGTAGATACTTTTGGGATATTTTTTTTTTTTGCTCTCTGACCAGTCAATGTCTTCTGTGCTTATTCAGTGCCCTCAGAGTGAGTTGGATGCGGAAACTGTGAAGAGCATTCTGGCTGAATACAAAATCCATAATGCTGATGTGACTCTGCGTAGTGATGCCACAGCGGACGACCTTATTGATGTGGTGGAAGGAAACAGGTATGAACCGACTGTTCAGTCTGGTACCCGAGTTTGAATTTGAAGCCTTGTAAGGGAAACAACACTGGATCATGAATCTAGCAGATGTTGATTCTAACTCCAGTTGTGCTACTGTCTCAAATATTAGTGGACCTTGGTTTCCTTAGCTGTAAAATGAAGGGTTGGTCTTGATTCCTAACATCCTTTTTGCTCTGAAATTTCATTATGATGGCCAGAGTCCCCATTTCAGGTACTTGGTGTGAACGAGGCTGACTCCTAAGCTCTGTCATATGATGGTCGAGAACCTTCTCAGTCTTTACTCCCAGAATTAGTTCATGTGAGAAATCCTATCGGCTGTCCTAACTCAGAGCAGGCCAGGCTGTGTCTGTTCTCTCTAACCTAAGAGTACGTAGCTGAAACCCTAGTCCGTGAAAAACCACTATTATTAATATTTGAAATTGAAAGATAATTGAAACCGCTTAAAATTTTTGGTGGCATTTGGATAGAATATTTTCTGGTTGCTTTCCTTTGAGTTTGTTCATATTTGTTTGGGAATTTATTTGATCCTCATTTGAAAACAAAGCCAGTGCTTTGAGTTAGACATTTTATAAGTGAGCCCCTTGAAGCCTGAGAATTTGCGGCCTGCCTAATTATTGCTAACTTTAGCTGCCTCATTGGCTGGACATTGGAATTATGACATTGTCAGGTATTGTATTTGAAAATTTCTTTATTCTTTAAAAATTATCATGCAATATATTACAAGAAATATATTTACATTCTTACAATTCTTAAAACAACTTTGTAGGAAATTGACTCTGAGACTTGCTGATGGGCCCATATTTTAAAAGTCACCGAGCTATCAGTAGATTTAGTCTGTGTGACTCCTGGGTTTAGTCTGGGTTCTTTTTGTTGTAGCATACATTTTCAGTAGGTAGCTGCATGGTTGGAACTAGGGCCTGGGTTTTGTTATTTCTCAACTCATAGTTCACTTTTTGGATATTCTGCTTTGTTTTGGTAGAAAGTTTTTCTTTGTGGGGTGGGGGGTTGATCTGCCTCTTATGGTCCCTTTTGAAAGTGTCTCATTTGGGGTTCTGGGTGAGGGGGTGCTGATAATCAAACTGATAAGTCTTGTCAACAGGTCCAGACTAACATCCTGTTTTTTTTTATAGAGTTTATATCCCCTGTATCTATGTGTTAAATAAGATTGATCAGATCTCCATTGAAGAATTAGATATCATATATAAGGTACCTCACTGTGTACCCATTTCTGCCCATCACCGCTGGAATTTTGATGACCTATTGGAAAAGATCTGGGACTATCTGAAACTTGTGAGGATGTAAGTCTTAGTGGGTAGGGTAATATTGCTGTGGGAATTAAACCAGACTGTCCTAAAATGATATCCTCTGGAGCTCATTAATATAATGTCTTTTAGAAGATATAAATTAAATCCTTTTATCTTCTAGGCCATAATTGAGGGCAATTTTTTTTTAAAGATTTATTTATTTATCTTTAGAGAGAAGGGAAGGGAGGGAGAAGAAGAGGGAGAGAAATATCAGTGTGTGATTACTTCTTGTGCACCCCACCACTGGGAACACCTGGCCCACGACCCAGGCATGTGCCCCAACTGGGAATTGAACCAGTGACCCTTTGGTTCACAGGCTGGCATTCAGTCCACTGAGCCACATCAGCCAGGGCGAGGGAAATATTTTTCTCAAGTTGGGGGTTATCTGGATCTCTTCTTCTCAGGGGTGATGGAGGGTTGATTTACATTTTGTACATGAAACATTCCCAGAAGTAGATAACCTCTGTTTCTTCTCTGTTCTAGTTACACCAAACCTAAAGGCCAGTTGCCAGATTACACATCCCCAGTGGTGCTGCCTTACTCCAGGACCACAGTGGAGGATTTCTGCATGAAGATTCACAAAAATCTTATTAAAGAATTTAAATAGTAAGTATCATGGGCACATAAGTGGTACCTTCTTTTTCCTGTGAGTTACTGATCCCACTAACTAGAAATTCTTAGGAGAGCATTAAGCAAAGTGGTCATTAGGGAGGCTGCTGAGGTGCTTGTTTGGTTAGAACTCTGCAGTGTCTTAAAGTCATGTGAAGTTGGAGCAGGAAGAGCTCTAGAAGCCTTTTCTGTTTAGGAAGGCTGACAGTACAAAGGGCTCTGACTTTTTCTTATTAATTTATCTTCTTGGCAAACCTAAGTGTTAATTCTTCTTGCTAACATCATACTGGCCTCCAGTGGGTACAGTCCCCCCTCTAAACCTCATGCAGTGGTAAACACCTTAATCTCTTTCTCATACTTTTTATTGCTGAGAAGGCCTAGAAGCAATGATAACCCACTAACAATGAGCAATCTCATTATTTATTTGTTATTTTTAATAACTTATTTTGAACTGATTTTAAATTTATAGAAAAGTTGCAGAAAATAGTCCAGAGAGTTTTCTTGTATCTCACCCTGCTTCTGCGAACATTATCAGCTCCTATAACCACAGTACAGTTACCAAGAACAGAAATTAGCATTGAAATATTACTTGAATTTTAATACCTTTTCTACCAGTGTCCTTTTTGTGTTTCAGGAATCTACATAGCATTTAATTGTTACTTCTTAGTCTTGCAGTGCCTCAGCCTTCCAGTACTATTCCTTAGCCTTTCACTGTCTTTGAAAACGTTGACACTTTTGAAGAGTATTGATCACTTATTTTGTAGAATCTCCTTCACTTTGGGTTTGTTCAGTGTTGTCTCATGATTGAAGTGAGATGCATTTTTCGTAAGAATACCACAAAAATGATGATGTGTCTTCAGTGCATTATATCACTGGATTTGTGATATCGATAGGTCTTATTGATGGTGATATTTACTTTGATTACCTGGTTAGGTTGGTGTTGGGTATTTGATTTTTTTGGTTCATGTTACCCTTCTCCTCTTTTTCTTTTCTTTTCCTTTCTTTTTTTAATTATTGATTTCAGAGAGAGAGAAACATCGATTTGTTGTTTCACCTATCCATGCATTCATTGTTGCTTCTTATAGTGCTCTGACCAGAGATTGAACCTATGACCTTTTTATACTGGGATGTTGTTCCAGCCAACTGAGACACCCAGCCAGGGCTTATCCTTTCCCTTTTCCATATATATATATGTGTGTGTGTGTGTGTGTGTGAGAAGATTTTACTTATTTTTAGAGAGGAAGGGAGGGAGAAAGAGAGTGAGAGAAACATTGATGTGTGAGAGACACATTGATTGACCGTCTCTCACACACCCCCAACTGGGGACCTGGCCTGCAACCCAGGCATGTGCCCTGATTGTGAATTGAATTGGCAGTCTTTTGGTTCACAAACTGGGGCTCGATCTACTGAGCCATACCAGCCAGGGCAGAAATAGTGACATTCTAAAAACACTCATTTGTTATCTTAAGAATACTGAAAGAGTGAAGTCTTTTCTTAAGCCTTACATTCCTTTTATTTAAAATAAATAACTAGCCCTGGCTGATGTGGCTCAGTGGATTGAGTGCTGCACTGCGAAGCAAGGGATCGCTGATTCGATTCCCGGTCAGGGCACATGCCTGGGTTGCAGGCCAGGTCCCTGGTGGGGGGCACGTGAGAGGCAACTACACACTGATGTTTCTCTCCCTCTCTTTCTCCTTCCTTTCTCCTTTCTCTAAAAAAATAAATCTTAAAAAAAATAACTATATTCCACTTGTAGGTGCTAATTTTCATTATCCTCAAACCATTATATTTTCGCACAGGCTTGAATAAGTGGAGTCTTGGGAAAAGTTAGACATTTTCCCTTTCCAAACTTCATAGATTTCTATGTAGCTCCTGCCTTCCATGGTGGCAGAATACTGCAAAGCCTCTAGAACTATAAGTTCACCAGGGAATTAAATGAGAGGAGAAGAATATTTTGGAGAAGAGACATATCAAAGCAAATAGAATTTTATTTGGTCACTATTTTCTTGTTTTTGTTTTTTAAATAATTGCCCAAATAGCTTTTTAACCATCTTAGTAATAGAAAAAATTAGACTTTAGACCTACTAATTATAACTTTTGTTTATGTTGCATTCCTTTTATGTTCTTGACCAGATGCACAGCACATATCTTTTGATCATTTATTATATGTGTTTCCCGTGTGTTACAAGATTTATATATATCATTTTAACCACGTTTTTCTTATCTTTTGCTACTTTACATACTTTTCTCATCTTCATGCACAAAACTTACTCTTTTTATTTAATTTAGAAGTATGATTAATGATTATATGGCTTTTCATATTTTTTGTTGCATTACTTTCCAAAAGGGGTGAACCTTTTACATTGCTGTCAACAAAATAGGAGTCACAGACTTGACTGTAGGCATCACTGATAAAAAGTAGTTTTCTTGTTTAAGATGATAAAATGGTCACCTGCTTTTTATTTACCTTACTTGTTAGTAAATTAGAAAAATTTTATATATATATTTGTTTTACTAATACTGTTATAGCTATTCCTGTTTATCTGTTTTTTCAAAAGTGAAATCTCATTTAGTGATTTCTGTTTGGAATATAGATTTTTCAAGTTTTGATGCAAAGATGATATAACAACAGTATGGCCACCATTTTCTGTGCATTGGTACATAGTTCTTAGCTTCTGAGAGGCAGGTCTCAGTGTTTTGTTCACCAGTTTCCATCAGTACTATATACTTTTAGCATTGGAGGCCTATGGATAAAAATTATCTTCATGCACTCTAAGAAATCAGGAAAATATACCATTTGTGGTTTCTTGATAGGGTGGGAGAATTTTCCGAGCATGGCTGACCGGGGGCGATGTTTCCTATCAGTACCCACTGATGGTTTCAGTAGACCCAACAAAAAACTGGTGTTCTTTGTTTAGAAAGAAATTTTTTTATTGATTTTTGGTGAGAGAGAGAGATAGGGAAGGAGGGAGGGACAGAGAAACAGACAGACACATATATTTCTTGTTCCACGTATTTGTACATTCATTGGTTGCTTCTTGTATGTGACCTGACTGGAGATCAAACTTACAACCTTGACATTATTAGGACAATGCTCTAACCAACTGAGCTGCTCGGCCAGGGCCGAAACTGGTATTCTTTCACAGTCTACAATGGACACTGTATTTGTAAGAGTTTCCAATCTGAATCATTTTAGGCTGTTTCTCTGTAACAAACCCATGCTGCTTTTAATTTTAAGCTAGTCTTGTCACATTTATTTGTGTTTTTTCTCTTTGACCTTCTTAAACGGGTTCTGGGACAAGAGGAACTACGTAACTTCCAATAGTCTTTGCTACTTTGAATGTGAAGGCTCCAGTGTGCCGTACTACTGGGGAAGCTACAGCCTCTGACTTCTGAGTGTGATTCTTGACTGGGGAGAGAGGACCTTGGCTGTCGCAGTACTATGGCTCTCTTAAGAGCTGGAATGCTAAACCTGAGCAGAAATGGCACCCAGGTAGTTAGGGAAGAGGCTAGGTGATTGTACTGACTGTTCTTTTTTCCCTTCCATACAGCGCTCTGGTCTGGGGTCTCTCTGTGAAACACAATCCTCAAAAAGTGGGTAAAGATCATACATTGGAGGATGAGGACGTCATTCAGATTGTGAAGAAGTGAAACCTTCCCCCTTCCCGATCTACTGGGCCAACCACTGCAGCTTTCCCATGACCAAGCAATCCCCTTCTGGCTTTGGCAGCCACTGGATCAGGATTCAGGGGAGGGAGGTGGAGGTACCCATACTGAAACTTCATTTGTCTTTACTGGGCATCACCTTGTATGCTGAACTGCATAAAGGACCTGGTAGGCCAGCTGGCTATGTGCAGTTCATGTGTCATTGTCAGAATTTCTTTTGGGATGGACTAAATGACAATGGGTATGTACAGTGAGGCACCTGCAGAAGGGGTACTTGGGAGCTTTGTCTTGAGTATGAACTGGCTAAAAATGTGATTGCAACATCTTAGCTGATATTTAGTCATGGGAAACCCTTCTAACTGTATATGGCCCTCAGTCCTTTTGAATGGTCTTTCCCAGATGATGCTGAAGAGGAGGACCTGAAGGGCTGGATGTAAGTAAACTGTTTCTTGCAAGGCTACCCCATTTGGGAGATGATGTAGTGTGGTGATTGAGTAAAGTACTCTGAGCAGGCACATTGGTGTTTGAGTTGCAGGTTTACTTATAATTAGTTGTGGAACCTTGCACAAATTACTCAACCTCTATAAGCCTCAGTTTCCTCATGTAACATGGAGATAGTAATAGCATCTTCTAGAGTGGAGATTGTTAGTATTAAGGAACATGGTACTTATAAAATGCTTAGCACAGTGTCTGGCATGTAAGTACTTGGTGGATGTTAGCTTTTGTTGTCACTGGTCCCTTTACCTGGGCTGCTTGTCTGCTCTAGTCGGAACACAGCTGTCTATCAGTGTTGGGCTGAATGTTGAGTTGAACCATGCTGCCAGGTGGGCCTCTAAGTGTCTCCTTTCCTGTAGCTCAATCTTTCTGCTTGAACCCCCATGGCAGTCCTGGCCTCAGCCATGCAACCTGGGTGAAGGAATGGAGGCAAAACATTGCAAGTGAGGCAACCAGTGTGATCAGAGCAGGTTTGTGTGTACCTGTGTTATGAATGGAGGTGGGAGTTTAGGTTAGAAGGGGTGGGGTCAGGACTATTTGAGAGGGTACTAAAGGTATAATCAGAAGTTTTGGGCTGGGAATAGGGGTTTTGAAGGGATTGACCTGATGATGGGAAATTGGCAAAAATCGTTTTGTGGTGGACTTGGCTAGTGAGAATACAGACAGGGAGGGTGTGGGCATGTAGGCCCAGAGGAGAAGTTTAAACTTGGTAACTGATTTGCTCTTTAGAGGAAGAGAAGTCAGAAATTATTTTATTATGAATAACAGGTATGATAGAGAAGGGTAGTCCTTGAGAAAATCAGGAAGGGACCATCTGGAGGAAGATAGAGTTCGATTGTAGATGCAGTGAGCCAGAGCTGGCAGGTTGTAGAGATGGAGATGTGGGATTATACACATACTCAGCCTTTTGTAGTACTTGTTTCTCCTGCTATCTTGGTGATAGTTGTTTGCCTCTGATAGTCTTCCTAGAGCTTGGGCTTAACATTGTCCCCCAGACCCCTCAGGCCTGGTATCCTACTTACTTTGCAGGATATACATCTTGATATTACTGGTGCATTCATGATAGAGGCCATAATCCAGAGCTTAACTCTTCAGAGAAACATTGGCTTTCGGAGCTAACAGATTTCCAGCAAGGTTTGCTCTCTAGCCAGAGCATATATAAGGTTTTGGAGGAATCCTCATGCCCAAACTCACTTTCATTGAGCAGGAATTTAGCACTGCCTGGATGCTGGGGAGGAAAGCTGGCTGAAGTCCAGTTCATCCAAGGCCCCAGGTTGTGTTTTGATTAGACCTTCCTCCCCTTGCCCCATCAGTAGCCCATGGTGCTTGAGTGCATTACTTGAGAGAACTCTTCCTTTCTCTCCCTTTTTGGCTCAGACTTGGGAGTTCTGGGAAAGGGATACAGTTTTGGGTTAGGAATGCTGCTTGGGGTAGAGCCACCAGGAGGCCATTCCTACAGCTGAAGGCTTTCATAGTGGTTTGGCTGCGACACATGAATTTCCTTGGCTGTCACATACTCTTTCTCTCCTGATCTTTTTTTTTTTTCTTTTTTTTTTTAGCATAGGTAAGCAGACTCACTGACCTGTGCCATTTATTAGTTGGAATTCTTTTAGGTGTATTTTAACAACAAACTCTTAACCAATGGGAATGGAAGGAAACTTGGTCTCTCATGTAAGTTGTCTTGAGCTCAGATGCGCTCATGACAATTGTTAAGTCATCGAGGATCCAAATTCTTTCCATCAAGCTACTTTGTCCACTGCAGTTTGTTGGCCTTGCTGGGCAACTGGCTCCCCTCACAGTCACAGAATGTCTGCTGCAGTCCAAGGCTTTACATCAGTAGCCAGAAGGGAATGAGGATTGCTGAGTTACATTTTTGGACAGCCGTTTCCCAGAAGTTGCCCACTCATGTTGTCCTTGTGTCTCATGGCCTAAATTTGTCACATCCTTGAATCAGTTGTCGGTAAAGGGAATTACTGAAGAATCGGTTTACTCCTCTAAATTATCTTTGTTCCTGGGTTGTATTTGTAACTTGTCTTTTTCTTTTACAAAGAAGGGCCAGTGGAGCTGACTTCCTTTCTGTCAGTAGTGTGGCTTATAAGGCAATAGCTATCTTCTGAAAGAATACATGACTGTACTGTATCCCCCCCGCCCCCCCCATTTTTCATTGATTACCACTGACTTCCCAAGTACTGGCTGCTCAGCTCTTTCCTTTGGGAGGTACTGTACTTTCCTCTCCATCTGATCCTTCTCCTTTTTTTAAAACAAGATTTTATTTCTAGGGACAGGGGAAGGGAGAAAGGAGAGGGAAACATCAATGTGTGGTTGCCTCCTGTGCACCCCCAACTGGGCACCTGGCCTGAAACCCAGGCCCCAACTGGGAATCATACTGGCAAGCTTTGGTTCACAGGCTGGCACTCAACCCACTGAGCCACACTAGCCAAGGCTGATCCCTCTCCTTAAAGTTAGGTCTTCCATGAAGTTCCCGATGGCTCTGTGTTTTACTTTGAGGGGCCCTTACCCATCCTTAGCTTCTCTTAACCTTTATTTTGCACATTCTTCCAGCCTTGATTGCTTCTGAACTTGTATCATGCCTACTAATTCCCCAAAGTTGCTCCTTGTAAACATCTCTTAAAATTAGTTGGGACATGACTTTCTCCTGCTCTTTTTTAATTTCTTTAAAAGGATTTTGAGAGGGAGGGAGGGAGGAAGAGAGAGAAACATCAATGTGTGGTTGCCTGTGTGTTCTCTACCAGGGACCTGGCCCACAACCCAGGCATGTGCCCCAACTGGGAATCAAACCGGCAACCCTTTGGTTCACAGGGCTGCACTCAATCCCCTGAGCTACACCAGCCAGGTCCTCTTGCTCTTAACTCCTGGAAGACAGCAGTAGTTTCCTCTTCCCCCCACTCCCTCCCATACACCAGAATAGTTTTGTTAAAATCTGTACATCTAGCTTCTACTGTGCTATTCTTAGTAACATTACCTTATTTTCTTGTAGCTTTGTTTCACTAGTCACTGGCTGATATCTTTGCCCTTTACTTGATTGCCTTACATTCATTTCTGTCCTGCTAGCTTCTAGCTTGAAAAGAAGCCCTGTATCTCCAAGTATTGGTTCAGGAAAGGTGGAACTGAATTTAGGCATCTGTTCTACCATTGTTATGTGAAACTGCTTTCTAGCTTCTGTGGAAACGAAACATTTGGAAGAGTTCTAAACATAATGTCTGTTTTCTGAAGCTGACGAATCACAGAAAATCCTACAGAGGGGGACGGGCATAATGAAGTACCAGGAAGATAGACTTCATGCTCAATCCACAAAGCTGTTTTGTTAAAAGGTGATCTGCTTTTTTAGGTTCCTTGAAGTGTAGAGCAGGGTGGGCAGCTCCAGATTTATAGGCAACAAACATCTCTCACACGCAAGACTCAGGTGGTAGTTTTACTCTTTGGGAGTCAAAAGTCCAACCATTTTGTCATGCATCTGTTAATCACAATATGGCCTCATTTGACCCTCTAGCATAAAGTATCTTTGATGGCCCTAAATGGGCAAGTATTGAGAACTCGGGAAAAATTTATTTGAGGAAGGGGGACTAAAGACCATAGCTATAGTGAATAATGAAAGTAACCGACCTGTGGAATGAAATACAAAACACAGGACTCAGTTAACACAAGCATCAGTCCCATGAGGGAAGTTCTATATGGAAAAAATAGTAGACTTAATGGATTGAATCAATCTTGAGGTCCTGTTTTTCCCTATAGGGGACTGTTAGCTGAACAGGATGCCAACAAACTCTATATACTTTTGCTCTAGTAAACGTGGATTTGTTTGGGAGAAACTACCATCATATACATGATTACCCAATCAACAAATTGTTTTTCACTAGGTGGTTTTAATCCTAGAAATTGCTCACTATAATTTGGTATTAGCCACAAGGGTCAAGCTACCTATAGGGTCAAGCCCAGCTTAACCCTATTGGGGTTATTGGTAACCCCAATAAAGTTACCCATTGGGGTCTCAAGGCTCAAGAAAGGCCATAGATGCCTCTTCCTAAATGAGATAAAGTTTAGTGTGATGAGTTTCAAAGAAAAACTAAAACTTCAGATCATTTCCCTTAAGGAACCTACTGAGGCTCATGTGGTCAGCTGGTTGGAAAAAAGGAGGAAGGGAGTCTGGAAGAAATAAACACAATAATGCCATTCACTTTATTCACACATATCATATGTATCTTAAACAAGACCATATTCCAAATGTACAAGTGAAAAAAATCCAAACTGTTGACACAGGCTTAACTAATATCAGCTACTTTTATGTACAGCTGTATAAGTTCAAAAAAGCTATCCTATATGTATATACAAAAATTGTTTATACACAGGTCTGTACATAAGGGTCTATACATTTATTTCCACAGAACCCTTAGGTGCCCACCTCTTGGTAAAGACACCAACACTTCATTCACATATCTTACAAAAAAAGAAAGACTATTTCTGGGATTGACAACCCTGTGCATCCTGTATTCAGACCATGTAGGCTCCATTCAACTGGTTAAGATCCTTCCATCATGCAGACCACACCAGATGCTTAGGCCTCCCTAATCAGCTTTGCACAGAATGCTCCAAAGTGAAAGCCTGTAAACCAAGCAGAGTCCTGACAGGGTGCCATCATAGGTCCAAGGTTAGGGAGCCTGCCTGCCTTGCTCACTGTCGATATTCTAGTTCATCTACACTGATGACTTTGGCAGGCATGGAGGGCAGGGGCTGCTGTAGCACATCAGAGCCAAACCACTTGGCAAGGCCCACTGGGGAGCTGCTCCTCTGGCTGGGGCGGTGCTCCAGCTGGGAGTGCATGTGAGGCAGGCCTGACCGACTGGGCACATTCTGTGGGGCCGCCGGAACAGTGACAGCAGCTGCCTGGGAACCAGAGCCTGGAGGATGAAGAACTGTGGGGATAAAAAGGAAGGGTTAGTTGGAGCAGGAGGGGTAAAGCACTACATTAGGTCCCGCTTCACTCAACCCTACTCATGAAACT